ATTCTTGAAGAAATTGTCGTGTTCTTGAGCGTTTACTAGTTCACTCATATCTACTCTTTGTGAGAGTTTTATTCCTGAGTGTTTAAGTGTTTTCATACACTTTAAGGGAGGTTGTTCCCTTGTTGTAAACTCGAAGGAAGTTCCTTGTTCCTTCGTGAGAAGTCTTGGAGTGCGGTATCTCCGAGCAAAGGTGTTGAGGCTCGTGTGACTCGGGTTCTCAAGTTGTATCGGTTTGTTAAGCACCCTTAAGCTTAACGGAGTTAGTGTAGCTCAAGAGAGTCTCTCGGGGGGCTGGATTAGCCACATGTTGTGGTGAACCAGGATAAAATCCGGTGTGTTCCTTCCTTAACGCTCTCGTTTTAATTTCCTGCGATTTTGTTTTAAACGCTATTCACCCACCCTCTAGCATTGGGCCTTTATTCTAATAGCGGCGAGTCTCTCGTGACTCACTCCCTGCTGCGGCTCTCCCGATTCAAGCGCGATAGCTCTCAGTGGATCGACGGGGATGGTGGTGCTCCGGTGGCAGCGGCCCTCACTCCGGCTCCTGCTGCTGCACACAGTTCTTCTCAAAAGAACCCAGGTGACACTCCTCTGATTAGTTTCTACTGATCGGATTTTCGGTGTCTTAACGAACCAACGCTCTGATACTACTTGTTGGGATAAACGCACGCGGAAACAACACACAATCACGAATCAACTGCAGAAAAATAAATGACACATGATTTAACGTGGTTCGGCCACCAATTGCAACCTACGTCGACACGGGGCAACTAGGAGGATTTTATTTCATTGTTGTTGCACACCACAATTACAAGTACATTAGCGTCTCTTAAATAGAGATTAGTTAGGGAAACAATGATTAAGCCGTAAGCTTCTAGGTAGCTTCCTACCAATTTCCTGTTAGCTTCCACCTAGCTTCCTGGCTTCACACTCAATACAAGTAATAGGACTTCTTCAAACACAAGAACTCTTCACCAACGTCTCTCTCTAAGTGAGTCCTTGGTGTTCAAGAAGACTGACAGGATGCTACAGCTCACACACACACTAGTACACACTAAAATAACTATAGAAAGGTTTTTGTCAAAAAATTATGCCAACACACATTACAACAGAGATTTTCTAGAGCTAATAATATGAATATAAATTGTATAAAGATTGAAAAGAGAGATGAGAGATTGAGATGTGTGTAATTTTTTTTAAAAAGGTTTATTTATACTTAATTTTGCTACCCCTCCCCCCTCAAACAGCTCTATAGCCGTTGAGGGGTCCCTCCCCCTCTTCTAATGTCTTTGTTTTTTTGCAGGTTGATCGTTGGTTGGTGACAGCAAGCCAGCAAGGGAAAACACCAAAAAATACTTACGGTACTGGAACCAGTACTGGTACCGCTTGTGCCGGTACCGTAATACTGGTACTGGAACCGGTAGCGAAGGGGGCGGTGCGGGTACCGGTTCCCGGAACCATAGTGACGAACCGGTCGGCGGTGACGGTAGCCGATACCGGCGGTATCGTTTCTGGTCACGGTACCGTACCGGTACCGTGTCCAGGCCTAGTGCTCGGTCTTAAATAAGAGTCTAGGTTTTAGAAAACCTTAGCTCTAATACCATGATACAATTTGGTAATAGATGTATTAAGAAATAAAATATTATATTTAATTACTTTCCTTATCATAATACTTTCTTTTTTGTAGTGTTACTATAGTTGTTCTCCTACTATCATTAGAACTCTCTCATTTAATCTCTATAAGTAGGGATGTATTTTTCAATATTCAATCAGACCAATTATTATCAAATTGTATCAAGGTAGCAGAGCCACCATTCTTTGTGACCTACAAAAAAGTTCTTCGCCTCCGCCGCCGTCGCCAGTAATTTATCCGGTGACGGCAGCCTCACCACTATTTCTTTCTCCTTCCCCTAAACACTAGCCACCACTGCGGGCCATAATCACCCATCACATTTTTTTTTCATTTCTCAATTGTTCACAGCTGTTGTTCCAACAAGAGCTGCTCTTCACCATCAATATCCATTGTCTCAAATTCATGCCCAACTCCTCTTCTTTTTTCTCTCTCAAATCACCAACTCTTAATATCCATCTCCCTTCTTATCATTTTCTACTATAGAACTAATAAAATCCAAACCAAAGCCAAGAGGGGAAATTGCGAAAGAGGAAACAATACCTCATTGACTCATCCCTCAAAGAAAGTTGAAGAATAATTATTTTCCAATCATCACAAAGGTGAGGTTACATGTGTATATATACAAGAGGATTTCCTAGTTATGGTAGGAAACATATTAATGGTAACCTACACACATAAGGTAACTACAATAAGTACAATATTAAATATAATAACAATATATTTAACATGCTCCCAACGGCGCTGCTAATGAAGGCCGAACCCCCAAGCATTCCCGAAACTCGGTGAAAATGATGGTTGAGAGACCCTTCGTGACGATGTCTGCATACTGAAGTGACGAAGGGACATGAAGGACGCGAACCTGCCCGAGAGCTACCCTATCCCGAACAAAATGAATATCAACCTCGATATGCTTCATGCGCTGGTGCTTGACAGGATTCGCCGATAAGTAAACTGCACTAATGCTGTCACAAAAGACAAGGGTGGATCGGCTAAGAGGCTGCTGGAGCTCTAGGAGAAGATTCCGGATCCAACTGACCTCGGCAACGGCATTAGCTACAGCTCTGAACTCGGCCTCGGCGCTGGAGCGAGATGTGGTGAGTTGGCGCTTAGAAGACCATGAGATAAGGTTGTCACCAAGAAATATACAATATCCAGATGTGGAGCGATGTGTGTCAGGGTCATCCGGCCCAGTCAGCATCTGAATAGGCACGCATGTGATCTGTTTGCGACGGAGTGATGGAGATGCCATGGGAGGGTGTGCCATGGAGATATCGGAGGACCCTCTTCATGGCTGTGACATGAGACGTGCGTGGGGCATGGAGGAAGAGACAGAGCTGCTGGACGGCATAAGTGATATCCGGACGAGCAAAAGTCAAGTACTGCAGCGCCCCAACGATGGATCGGTACAGAGAGGGGTCCGCGGCCGGTGATCCTCCGGAGGCCGACATCTTACCTCGTGTGTCAACAGGGGTGGAAACTGGTTTGCACGAGAGCATGCCCGCTCTATCTAAGATGTCATACAGAAATTGTGTCTGTGTGAGAAACAGACCATGAGTGGTGCACTGGACATTAATCCCGAGGAAGAAGTGGAGATCCCCCATGTCAGTCATAGCAAACTCACCCTTGAGACGCTGGATGATCGTCTGAAGAAGGCCTGGTGAGGAAGCAGTGAGAATGATGTCATCTACATAGAGGAGTAAAAATGCCATCTGAGACCCTTGGCTGAGTGTGAACAAGGAAGTGTCGCTCTTGCAGCCGCGGAAACCAAGAGAAAGTAAGAAGCTGGTGAAGCGCTGGTACCAGGACCGGGGCGCTTGCTTCAGTCCATAGAGCGCCTTGTTCAGTTTGCAGACGTAATGAGGCCGAGAGGGGTCTTGGAACCCAGATGGTTGAGCTGTGTAGACCGTCTCAGTGAGATTCCCATGTAGAAATGCATTTTTGACATCGAGCTGATGAATTGGCCACCCTCGGGACACTGCAAGACTGAGAATAATCTGAATGGCCGCCGGCTTGACCACCGGGCTGAATGTCTCATCATAGTCAATGCCATGCCGCTGATTGAATCCACGCACAACCCATCGAGCTTTATACCTGAACAGTTCACCTGTGGGGCTGAGTTTGTGTCTAAAAAGCCATTTGCCAGTGATAATGTTTTGGTTGGGGGAGGGGGGGGGGGTACTAAATCCCATGTATTATTAGCAATCAAAGCATTATATTCATCTAACATAGCATTGTACCAATTTGGATCTTTAAGTGCACTCCGG